AAACAGAAAGGAAACACAGAGAGGGGGAGAGAGAGTGAAAAACACAGACACAGAGAGAGAAAGAGACAAAGAGAAAGCTAGGGACAGAGAGCGACAAAGACAGAAAGAGAAAGGGAGACAGAGAGCAGACAGATAGCGATAGAGAGAGAAGGAGAGAGAGAAAGAGAGAGACAGAGAGAGAGAGAAAAAAAAAGTTATTCTCCATATACATTGTAAGAAACAATGTCCCTATGCCCAGTGTTGTGTAATCCAAGCATGAAAGACTCTGCTGTGATGCGGACACTCGAGGGGACAGTTACTGTTGCTGTGGGAACCCAAACTTTGCATTTCCTGACTTTTGTGTAATTAAAATGTCAGCCTTAATGTGGCATTAATGGAGTTTGACATTAAAAAAAAATCTTTGTTTTCTTCTCAAAAAAAAAAATGCCTTAAAAAGTTCAAAACGAACAAAGTACTAAAAATTTTAAACACAGGGAATGGATTAGCGAGGCAGAAGGACAGGCTGGGGTGGGGGGGGGGGGGGGAAGGCGGGTGGACACCAATGAAGAGAGAGAAAATCAAAAGCTTACCATAATCTTCTCTACAGTATAAAGCTACAGTGAAATCATACTATCTCCAGAGCTAAAGTTAAACCCACCTACACAACAGTTTGTTAACGTGTAAAGGTTAAATTAAAAATAAAAAACAAAAAACTGCTAATGTGTAAGTATATTTTGGCAAGGACACAGAAACGAGAAAGTCTGATGTGGACAGAGTAAAATACCAGAAAGTTAACTAACTGTGCAGATACAGCAGTGAACAGAGGATATAATTTGTCTGAGAGCAGGGACTCTACCAAGCAGGGTATCTCAGAGAAGCAAAGTAAAGAAGAATCTGCTCTTCTTGTCCGTATTCCTATTTGAAAGTTGTGAGAAAAATCTGGGGCTATTTCTGTCACAGATGCATATTTCTATAGTTTGTCTGAACTTGACAAAGAAACGAGGAAGCCTTCTCAAACACTGGGTGTCATCTGCTTAATAATGTTCTGCGTTTAATAGCTCTGTTGAAACATTTAATGACAGCACCAACCCAGCTCAGGTTCTCCATTTAGAGTTTAAAACTGCTCAGTCCTAAACATCTGTGGCTTTCCTATTCCGGGTGTTCCAAAAGCACACCATTGCGCTGTGCGTTATTATTATTTGAATTTGTTTATACAGTTAAGTTTTTGAAATGTGTGAGCAGGAGGCAAGTTTAGATGCAGTCTAAACTGCTCACTGCAGGACAAATATGTTAGTAAGTACATTTAAAATTGGTAAAAATTTCAGAAGATATATTAACTTTATCATTTAGGAAAAGGACTCCTCAACGACATTTCTTTTGATTTTTGTTTTTTCCTTCTGTATATTATTGGGATTACTGCAGAATTTAGAATGGTTTAGTGGGCTAAATGACTGGCTGAGAACTTGGGAGCTCAGATTTGTCATCTTTTTGCTGTAATAATAATGTTTTGACCACTATATAGAAAAATTATGCTTTTAATCAATAGGTCTTGTGCCTGGAGTTATTTTCCATTTGGGGTGAAGGGTTTGGAGAAATCTACTCACATTTTCATGCCTGACTCTCTTGGTGATCAATAGCAAAGAACTACAGGAGAGGGGTGCAAGACATACAGGAGAGGGGTGCAATCTGCAGCACAGCAGAGAGAGAAGAAACCATATGCTCCCAGCTACAACCAATAAATTTGCTTCATTAACCTGACCCTAAGTCATTTCATCAAGCTGGGTGTCAATTTTCTCAGTTTTTTCATCGGTAAATTGGGAAGAATGATAGTGACTGACAGAAAAAGGATATTATAAGGAACGACTAAGAATAATATTGTCAAGCACATGGCAAACAGAAAGGTGCTATAAAAATTCAGTAACCTGTGAATGCTCAGAACACCACACCCTAGTGAATGTTTCTGAAGTTAAGGAGACTAACATGTCAAGGGCACTATTTTTAAATGCCCCAAATTTGTTAGTTATAAATGGGAACTGAAGCCTTTACCTTACAGAAATTAAGATTTTAAATTGATCTATGGCAAGAATAAGACTTGGGAAGAAAGATAAAACTCTTGAATGTAAGTAGATCATCCAAAAACTTTAACTATTTTAAAATAAGCCTCTCTTGCCTCCTGCCTCAGAAAATCTTCAAATAGACAGATTTCTGTGAATCTTTCCCAAAACTATTTTACAATTTGATTTTGAGTCTCAAAGCAGGACAAACTAGAACCTAAATATATTTTTTTCCTAGAGAAAACTAAAACCAAACAAAATAGCAGGTTGGAACAGAGGGACAGACTCTATCTTGAAAATAAACAAACAACAAAAAAAGAACCCTACAAAGAGATGGTGATTCTTCTTTCCTCCCTCTTCTTCACCCTCTACTTTTGTCAGTCATCCTATTGGGCAGAAATCTATTAGCTTCTTTTGAATTAGTGGGGTATTACTGTATTGGGAATACCATGGTCACATCATTCCAGCTGATAAAGAGAAGCCTCTGTGCATATTTTAGGATAATGGCAAGCTTTGGGGTTAATAAAGAGATATGTGGTAAAGTACAATGTTGAATAAGGTAAGTGTATTTCTATTTATCAGAACAATTAATTTTTCCTGTGGCAGGTCTGGATCAAAGCTACTATATGTTATTGTTCCTATGGAACAGAGCCACATCATGAAGCTCAATATGGGAAAGACATGGGCTCCACACTCAGCAGCGTGCCACCTTCCTGGGAGATAAGAAGAGAATGTACACATATATGTGGGCACAATGCCGTGTTGTTTTCCAATCTTTACTGTGATTACTACAAGAATGGAAACTGTCAGGCAAAAGGGTTATCCTTTCAAGCATGGTGGACCACAGAAAAATATCCCTGCCTCTAGTCTCCTAAAGGCAGCTAGGTGGCACAGTAGATACAGCATCTGAACATGGAGTCAGGAAGACTTGAGTTCAAATGTGGCCTCAGACACTTACTAGCTATGTGATCCTGAGCACATCACTGAACTGCCTCACTTTACTGTAAAATGGAGGATCATAATAGCATCTACTTCCTAGGGGTTACTGAGGCAGCCAGGTAGTGCAGTGGATAGAGTGCCAGGCCTGAAATCAAGAAGACTCATCTTCCTGAATTCAATCATGGACTCAGACACTTATTAGCTATGTAACCCTGGGCAAGCAACTTAACCCTGTTTGCCTCAGTTTCCTCATTTGTAAAATGAACTAGAGAAGGAAATAGCAAACCACTCCAATACCTGCTAAGAAAAACCAACATGGGGTCACAAAGGGTCAGACACGACTGAAATAACTGAACAACAATAACCTAGAGTTACTGATGAGGATCAAATGAGATATTTGTAAAGCACTTAACAGAGCCTCGCACATAGCAGGCGCTTAATAAATGCTTATCCCTTTCTCTTCCTCTCTTCCCATAGGCATCTGTACAGAAAAGTCAGCTGACCTCAGAGTTTAAAGAAGTACAAATTTGAATATCAGGTTACTTCTCCCTTTCCCACTAGTTTCCCGTATCAGTTGGTAAGTATACTCCTGATAGAGAGGTGATGAACTCAGGGCGCATATTGAGACATATACTTTCGGACCTGGCCAGTGGAATAATCTGTTTTTCTTGATTATGCATATTTGTTACAAGAGTTTTGTTTTTCTTTCTTTTTTAATGGGAGGGAGAGAAATAAGGTGGATTTTCATTAGTTGAAAAAAAATAAAGTTAAAAAAAAGTTGGTAAGCGTCCTCAGTTCAGCTGAGGCAAGATTACAAGTTTTTTTCACCAAATCTTTGCCTGTTAAGTTTTACCCTCTATCCACGGAGAACGGATGAATAGGTAAGGAAGATGTTAAGCTCATCTAACTTTTGGCTTCTTTTTGGAGGTCTCCTGCATAGTTTTACATCTGTACTGTTGGGAAAATATCGATGAGAGATTTGGAATCTCATCTTCTCACTAATACTTTGATCTTTGTGAATGGGATTAATGCCACCCTTGTTTGAAAATAAGGCTTTTTTTATTTCATTCACTGGGAGGCATATCTGCCAGTTCTTTGCCTGTTATTAATATTCTTTAAACACACAGATCCAAGAGCTATATCTTGAAACTGAAAAGAATTTTCTTTGGAACCAAACCCCAAAGACATTCTACACTGCCTCCTTTCCATTGTCTTACATACTTGTTTCTGCTTTCAGGCACTGGGTAAGGTTCCAGAAAATAAAATAAAAAAAATCTCCTAAACGTGATTTATCAACTTTCTTAAAATAGAATTTGGAGAAGTGGCTCCCAGATCAGTGGGAAGACAGCAAAAATAAACAGCAATGAAGTGATTTCAATAGGGAAGAGCTCATTAGGCTGCCCACTTCCAAATTTAGCCCTCAGGCATTTTTTTTAATTAAAAAATATTTTTAACCTGAAATCTTATTGGCTTAAGTGAAGTCTGGGTGGCTTCTGAATTCTTGGAAACCATTTCCTTTTCTTCTGTTAAATTTATGCTATCCTTTAACCACTTCAAAATCAATTAAAAACTTTAAAGGGAAAAATTTAGACAAGCAATATGGGATTCCAATAACTAATGGGCATCTGAGATGTTTCATACACTTTCAAAATGGATGTATCCTGGGGTCTTACTAGACTTCTGAGGTTCACAATGTATCGTTCAATTTGTCAATGGGGAAGTAGGGTTTTAGTGTACTGGGACACTAGAAAGGAATAACTAAAAAGTAATACTACAACTTACTTTCTAAGTCAACAGACTGAAAGAAAATGTAGTTTTTTTTCACTTAAACAACCCTCTGTGATATAATGGTGTGATCATCCTACATATATGATGATATTTTAAATATCAGTGGAGACTTCAAGTAAAAATGGTGGCAGGGAAAACCTTGGTCACAAATGGAAATAGTTTGCTGCAATCCAGTAAGTCAGAAGAAATAGACTGTTCTAAGTACCACATAAGATACTGTCACTGAATTGGTGTACTCACAATCAGATGACCCGGTGTGAGCGTGTGAGTTTGTCAGTGAATGTGTTGAGTGGATGAGGGCTGAGTCTGGAGACGGAACAGCTTCAAAGTTCAGGCAGGGAAGGCCTGGCTTGGCGCTGCGTCCACTCGGCTGAGTAATCTCATTCTCCTCAGATGCCTTCTGGTTTTCAGCTGTCTTGGGTTTCTTCCTGAAAATAAACAAAGGGCTCTTTGAAGGAACTGACTGCATATTTGGGAAAAGGCATTTTTAGAATCTGTTAAAGATAACTTGATTTTTTTTTTCTGAAGGGGGTGGGGGGTGGGGGAGAGAGACAGGAGGTCCTGTATGTCCCTTGTTTTGAAACAAGCTGATCCTTGTTTTTTCCCCTCCAGTAATGGCCTAACTGGGAACACATTAAAGCATATGGGCCAAGCAAGCAGCTCCACATTTGGTCTCTGCTGACTGCATAAAAAAGACCCTGTCCCAGTACTTTAGACAACTTGAGCTACGTATGGCTGACATTATCCAAGAACACATCCTTTTTCATAATAGTTCTAACATGGTCTGGAAAAATACCAGTGAAGGTTTTTTACAGTTATAGCCATCTACACAGCAATAGTCAGTGTGATTAAAAACATGCAAACTCCCCTTGTGAAACATAGCCTATGGATACTCAAATTATTTGTGGTATTGATTTTTAAAACTAAATACATAACTTGAAAGCAAATCCCCAGTTCTCAGGCCTCAAATGAAGTAGCAGCCACTCTGTGGTGAATTAGGAGATGAATTGGTGAAAAAGTAGGTAAATGAAGTAGGTGAAGGAACAGCTTAACTCCCATCCCCTTAAGGATTTCTTTGGGTGATGTTCTATTTTCATGGGTAGTTGGGGAGTTTAGGTGGGCTTTGTTTATTTAGATGACTGGAATATATTTGGAGGGTAAGGGAAGTTATAGGATAATTGTTATTTGATGTTAGGAGAAAGAAACCTAAAGAGCTCAGTTATAGGTCAGCTCGGCTCTCCTGCCCAACTTATAATCAAAACAACACCAACAAAAGTCCTTTGTTACAGTCTTCCATGGATGGTGACTAGAAGGATTATTTATGGTTTCAAATTTGTAACCAGATCAACTAAGCATATTGTTTCTATGGGTATGGGAATAGACTTGTTATATGGAATGTTCTGGAATGATTTATTGTAATGAGAATTTAAAATTCATATTCTAAAGCATTTACAGTGTAGCGATATCAAGACCTGGCATGATATGTTTCTAGTTCAACAGGTGGCAAAATTGAGCATCTTCAGAGAGAAGCAGGCAGAAACAGAAGGGTACATACCAGAATAAAAGGGAGGTGGGCAGATAGGTTTTTCAACATAGAGGAAACCAGTACAGGTGAAACAAGTTGTATTGTTATATGATTTGAGTACACAGACTTTAAGAGAGAGGCTGTAACGAGAATCAATTGTAAAAGAAGTCACAGACTGAATTCTAATTAAGTCTCATTCCTATTCAAAAGCAGTGCCCCTCCTCTGACGGGCTGCTCTGGCCGAAGCTGGGAAGGGCATTTTGTCAGAGAGGTACCAAAGAGCTAACTACAACAAGATAAGCAATGTACACGTTATATTTTTCACTTACATTTAGTATCTGAAGACTAAGGAAACTATTTTATTAGAAATACGTACACAGACCAAAGCCATTCCGATTTCAGATCCTAGTTCAAGATCTGAAAGGGACCTCAGAGTCCACCTAATCCAAACCTTTCATTTTACAATTGGGGAAACAGAGGCCAAAAGGGCAAAGTGACTGTCCAATGTCATGAAAGTAGTGAATGGCGGAGCTGGGATTCAAACTCAGGCTTTGAAACTCTAAGTTTATGTGATTTGTGGAGAGAGAATAAAACCTTTCCTGAAACAAAGCCATGATAAGCAAGATAAAACGTTACCCATTTTTTAAAGTAAAAATTATTTTCCCCTCTGAATAAATGCCCTTACTTTCCTCCCCCACCCCCACATTGATAATGCTTCCTGTCAGATATCTTGCACCACTGACTTCCTTTCGTTGTCTCTTAAGAGATGTGGTCTACTGTGGGGGAGCATTCATATCACAGGAATATTGGGGTTATGTCTGGAAGATAAAATATAAACACTTAGTATCTGTTTCTTTTAGTTACCATTTTTTTTCACATTGCTCTATACCTACCCTTCTATTTTCTTCACTCTACTGCAAAAAAGGCTTTCCCCAAGAACAGCTTCCATCTGACCTCTTCCAATTTTTTCTTTTGACCTCAATATTCTATATTTGAGACACATGGGAGTATCAAAGACATATTTGAAATAGTACAATTCAAAGGGCAGAAGGGCACAGGTGGGTCAATTAGACCCTATGAAGTCTGCCAAATGACATGATGCCCAACTAACTTATCAAGCAAAAATGTCAACCTTACTAATATATATTTTTAAAATTGCAAAAATCTGGCAAATTGGAGGGCACGTCAGCCAAAGTCTCATCAAACTCTTGCAGCTGTTAATTCTTCTTTGGAGCCTTTAGAGGGCAGCAGCATACAAGCTGACTCCAAGAAGCATTTCAGGGAGACAAAATCCCCACTAGAATCTTCCTCCTGGTCACCATGCCAAAGGTTAGTTAGTTTGCCAAGCTCTCTGATCTCCTTCCTCTCTCTTCCCCCTCCCCTCGTCGTCTTTCTCCCTTCCTCCCTCCCTTCCTTCCTCGTTTCCTTCCTCTATCTCATCATTTTCTTTCTTTTTCCTTTCTTCTTCTCACCTCTTTATCCTTTCTCCTCTTTCCTTGGTTTCCTTTCTCTCTCCTTTCCTTGGTTTTCTTTGTTTCTCTGTCTCTCTCTCTCTGTCTCTCTCTCTCTCTGTCTCTCTCTCTCTCTGCTCTTTTCCTTTCTCCTTCTAAGTGTGTAAAAATTACACACCCTGACGAAGTCGCTGTTCAACTGGAAAAGGAAAACCCAAATGAAAAAGTTAAACAAGCCAACAACAACAAAAACCAACCAGGGGAAAAAGGGGAAAAGGCGGAGGGAGTGGTTTAAGAACAAGAAGAGGGCAGATGTTTCGTAAATATATGCAAAGCAAAACTGGGTGTACCCTGCACACATCCACAGACTACAGGCCAATCATTGTGCGTTTCCTCCAACCACACTGGCTAAGCATCACATTTTAAAGTTAAAAAAAAAAATGTGGCTTCAGGCACCTGCCTTTCAACGGTCAGCCTGGACCAAATGTCCCCCAAGTGCCCAAACAGAACAAAACATTTTTCGTCTTCCCACTGCATACATTTCTGTTCTGAAAAAGAGGCTACTTCTAGGATTTGTTTTTAGGTGACCGGCAGCTGAGTTAGCTTGCAGGCCCCAAATGGATTTTAACTCTCTCCTAACAGGAGCTGTTAAGTTTCTTGCTCAAACTTGGTAGTGGTTTAAGGTAGTGCATGCTAGTGACTTTTTCTAAATCACTCCCTATTGTATGCACATTAGAAAATATGCCCTAAGACTTCTGAAGACATACTGGCTATTTAGAACATAAAATACATGGAAATCAGCCACATTTGTGACATTTTACACATACATTTCACAAGCTTTTGCACATACTGTGCATATACAATAATGGCAATGCATTTTTGCCAACATATGGGAAATAAATATTTTATCTCTGTGAGCTCTTCTCGCTCTCTAGGGTCTGTGAAGAGAAGTGTTCTTTTTCCCTTGTCCTGTGGGTTCCAACTCTCTCTCATACACATTAACCCAACTACTCAGTCTAATTCTTCTGATCAGCCACCAAAGAGTAATTATTGGGTCACCAACAAATTAGATCCAATTAGACAAATTCATATCCAAGGGGATGACAACCTCCCCTTCTCCTCCCAACCCCTAGATTGTCCTATCTATTTATCTTTTTTAAGCTCATTTGTTTTTGAGAATTTCTGGACCACCCTTAAGATAACTGGAGACATCCTGGGGTTGGTGGTAAGGGAGATATATAAAACCAAACTTGAGAATCCCTATCCTCAACACTTAAGATTTCAAGTTAATTTTTAATTCAATAAACATTTATTAACTGTTTCCAATAAGCAAAACACTCTGCCAGGTGCTAGGGGAGATATATAGGTTACAAAAGACATGGTCTCCTCCCTTTGTGGTATTTACTGTCTTGCATCATTCCAAAATATAATTGGTAAACTGTACTCAGCATTATAACCTGAAGAAGATATGAAAGGGTTATTATTATAATAGAAACTATTATGTAGTATTGTAATAGAAACTGCTATGCAATAAGCATTTTTGTCTTCTGTTCTTTACCATCTTTCTTTATAACTCTCAATATTTCTGCTTTCTGTATTTGCCATGCCTACTGACACAGCAAAGGTACCTCCTGAATACGAGGGTCAGGAACTTTATAAATAGCTTGCAATATAGAAACCCTATCAAGCCCAAATGCAAAGGACCGACCATCAAAATCAAGTCTTGGTTTTGTTTTCTTAGTATCTGTCTTTAAAGATGAAATCCAGTGTTTTTATATCCATTTATGACATTTTTTTGCCCATTGGAAAAGACCTAACCCCTAGATCTCACATAGCACTTTGTACTGTTAACTTTCACAGTATGTGTTAACACTATGTATTAGAGTTACATGGATTGGTTTCTTATTTCACTGTAAGCTCACTGAGGGTAGGAACCATATCTTATTCATCATCTTCCCTGAAACCCCACACAGCATTCTACATACAGTTGGTGTTTAATAAATGTTTATTGTATTGGACTATATATGCATTTTATGCTCTCAGTCCTTTAAAAAATTAAAAATTAGTTTTGAAAGATGAATTAATTTTATCCTATCTTTCTGGAAGGTCACAATAAAACAGAATAGAATCAGAGCTCTTTATCTCCATCTACCTACTTTGCTGTCCAGGGGTGGTAAAACCACAGAACACTCAACTCAAGGTATGTATTACAACATGCAAGAGCTATTTACTTAAATATAGTAGGGTTTTACCTGCATATCCCTCTGGTGGCTGAGAATGCTCTCTGGGCAGAAGGAACAGAGACACTATGCTACAATCCTATCTTCTGAAGTGACTCTATTGTCTTCTCCCTGTTAATTATTTCCTATTTATCTTGTATGTAGCTTGCTTTGTGTATATTTGTTTATGTGTTGTCTTCCCCATTAGATTGAAAGCTCTTTGGGTACA